CACACACACACACACACACACACACACACACACGCACGCACACATGCACGCACACATGCACATAAATGATAGATTAATAACACACATAAACACATTTATTAATGCCATAAGACTATATGCAGAAACATCAGCAGTACATACTCCTCTCTTTTAAATTCTGATCCACATTCTCCTCCTCAGTATCATCATCTAACGAGCTGGGTCTTAATTGCAAGTCATTAAACTTCTCATGGCTTCCAAAGCAAGAGAAATGCTGGCAGCATGCTGTCATTTTCCAATAAAAGTGTTGGGAGCTCTGAAATGTGTGGAGAACATCTCAACACACACTCAACCTGTAAACATGCAAATGCACACACACCTGCTGCTAATGCAGCCAGGGTTTGACTGGTACCATTCATATGCAGCACGGGGCACCAGACGGCTGGGAAAGGTTGGAGGAGCAAAGCATTGATGTTGGAGCAGCAGGCTGGTGATTCTCCAGAGGTTTTTACCAGCCGGGGGTTACCAGAGGTAACGTTATGCAATATATTCAGTTTTATCATTCATATCCAATGTTAACTGTAGCTGGACCTCCTCAAAGCATCGACCAGGGTGGCACATACTGCCCTATGCCACCACCGTAGATCCGCCCCTGCTGGTCTCTACCATTAATACCAGTGAGATTTAAATCCAGTGATGAAAATATGACCAAGCATTTGCAGCGCTTGGCGTCACTGTGACTATGGTGGGAGACTACTGAGCAGTTAATGTTGCTGATCGATTTAAATCTAATTTTATTTTTCAGAATCAAAATCGGTTCAAGTCGGTCAAACGATGTTTATAGTTTAAATGAGTTTTTTTTTTAATTTCAGGCAAATTGATTTACTTTAAGTGTTGTAGTAGTTTAGAGAGTTGCAGTACTACTATAAGCACATGAAATATTTTCTGTTACAGACTAAAATAAAAATGTTAATAAAGTTATTCTTTGTTTTAATTGAATCTATATTTCTTTCGTTTTTCTTTTGTTTTCGTTAATGTTAATACGGATACAATGTTATGCAGAGATGTACTTATAATAACAAATTTATAGACATATGAAACTATAGTCACGGGGGAGAGTGGTGGTGGGGGCATGGTGGGGTTTTGGGCTTCACCTGTACACAGTGTTTGTTAGGAGGACACAGACTGTGGGTGACAGAGGTCTGCCCCTGCCACAGAGCAGAGGTGCCACCTGCTGGTCCTGCTGGGAGGTTGTGTGGGCTGAGTGGTTGACCTATAGAGATCGACAGACCACGTGACTTTCGCGCATTGCATTGTAGCTACGAGTGGCAGCAGAATCAAAACACTGCATCAAGTGCTAGCATTTCCAGCACCAGTTATCATTAATTCTACAGTTTTAATCCATACCTGCAATTTTTTTTGCCCCAAAAAGAGTTATGTACGAAACGACGGATAGCACGGCAGCTCCGTACAAAGACATATGTGACGAAAAGGCAAAAAACGGAGGAGGAAAAAATTAAAGGAGTGAATGGGTCAGACCCACACAAGCATACAGAGTGGAGTAAGGACGTTAGTGTGCTGCCCAACTTTTATCACGCACATATTTATTATTATATGATCCTAAGCTTTAGTGCATACACTCACAAAATGTTTAGTAACTTCAGACCCCTGCAACAAGCCCAGGTCCAGTTTACTTTGGTGATTTGGACTATTCCATTTCACAGCTGTTGTTAATTTTTTTTTCCTTTATCTCCTGTACAG